GAGAAGTTCAACAGCCTCGGTTGGATTCGAACCCACGTACGGATGCTACCCACGCTTTCGTGTACAGCACGATCTACTGGCTGAGCTACGAGACCACACAACTAGCACTGATCTGTTCAAATAGGAATCCATGGGTCCCCCAATTGCCTTTGGAACATTATGTTAGATCCAGTATTGTGTTTCGATGAAGTGCTTGGATATCTCAGCGGACAGTTTTACACTCGTACCTGAGATGCACAAGCTATAGATACTGCAACCATGAAGCATACACATGATGATGCACTGACTGCCGGGATCAGAAATTGTTCGGGACGTGAACTCGTGACTTGACGGCAACGTTCCCAGTTCCGATTTGGGTTGTCCTCCACTGGAGAAGTACTGGACACATCGCTTACTGGAGACGCCTCGGTATGGTCAGTGCATATTGTACGAAAATAATCTGTGAAAATCCATTCGGCTTTGGTACAAAGTAGTATCCCCAATGATATTCGGTTTTTAACAAGGAAGGCACCTCGCGGTAGACACTAACCCACTGCCCAAACCGGGATGGGGTATTATTTGAATGAGTTTCAGCCTTGGTCTTTGACGGAATGGCCGGGTTTTCAAGACAGCAGATTGAGATTGGGCTCCCTAACCGTTGAGAGCTGGTGGCTGATGTTCATCGATTCAGATCATATCTGAGAGGTTCCAGAATAGCCTCTGACTGCAAATCTCAGATCCTACACCTCGGTTAGTACAAAAAGTTTCACGCCGAGACAGGGGAGAGTGACTTTACTCAATGAAAGGGACCATTTGCCACATCATAAAAAGCCCTCGGTTTCTGTTGGGTCTTGTAAGGAGAATGCAGGCTGCGTGAAAACTCATCATGTTCTCAAGTACTGTCACTTCGCAGCCGCAGTCACCTATTTAGTGAGCTTCAATACGTCTTATTCATGCCTAGTTACCAAATTGATGGCTATTTTCCTATCGGCGATCTGGGCACGTGCCAGGTAGCATATAACTATGCGAATGGACAGCGGTATGGCCTCTGAACCCACAGATCTCTGTATGATATGTGCTGCTCGACTAATCCTTTTGATCACGGGTTTGAGAGCGCTTGCGGATTATGGGTCACATTAATTAAAAGCTAATGCAGAAAAGTTAAGCGATCTTTACAAACAAAAGTAGATATACATGTAAAATTATTTTGACGAACTGTTGCGGGGTTTGGTCCAATCTAAAATAATTCGTGTAGGTTTGCTCTGCACAGTTCGTATCCGGATCTATTCCGCTGTATCTTAACAGATGCATACTATAGACCACCAAAAATTGATAACATTACCTCTAGTTACATGGTTATGGCCAATTTGACCCCAAGGTAACGAATAATTCCTAGTTAGACAGGGGGCTGTCCGGTTGGTGACCCATGACCAGTTTCGCATAAGTTGACAACAGTGTACACCCCCTGTGGTATGTGCCCCGTCACTCTTAATGGAAGTTGCTGTTCCACTGGGTCTAGGTAGTTGGCCCAAAACCCACACGTGAATATACACACGAGGTGTGATTTTGCATGAATTGATAACGGCTGCTTAAGTGGATGGAAGGGTACATTTCGGTATGTATGAAGTAGGCAGGGTTCGTGGTCGATTTATGACCATTTAATTGGCGATTTGAGTCGGCGTGCAAATACCTCGGCAGCTCCAGGAAGACATTGCATTTAAGGATTGATATTATCAGTTCTTTGGTCCGTATACAGAACAGTGTGGTTTTACGAACGCCTTTAGTAGACATTGGACTAAAATACGGTTAGTCGATTGATCTCGCCTGTGTACACCTAACAGGTTTTCAGAGATCTTTGAGCCTTATTCTACCTTGTCCTCCCCGGTACAAAGCCGATAAAGTTTAGGTACTGGTCCGACCATATATGTTCACGTTACACAGATCGGTGCATACTACCATTTTGACGTCTGCTTATAATCCGTTCCAGAAATGTAAAGTGTCTGATGAGATGCAGCGAAACATATCTAGATAAAAATTGTGTAACGCAGACCTACTGTATTTCAAAGAGGGAATTTGTTGTGTATAGGGCTAATAAAGCGTAAACTGAAAAGCTAGGAAGCACTTTACAGCTGTTTCGATCCGATCATGTCTAATCAGCAATGCAAATTCATGGACCTAGTTGGGGATCAAACTGAGGACCTCATAGGGAGAACGCAAGCATGCTACCCACTGGGCCACTGGGTAGCTGATCAGACCGTGTTTTTATTTTCCTGATATACGATATGGTACATATCACCTTTGCTAGCTTGTCGCGGGCATGGTGCCTTGTGACTCTCATTACTAACCTCCAGGGTTAGGACTCAGTTGGAAACTGTCACAGCCTGACCAGTTGTTAGCATACTTGTATCATGCTATATAGTGCTTCCTAGCTTTTCAGTTCACGCTCTATTTGCTCTATACACGACAAAATTATCTTTCTGAAATTCAATCAATTCTCCGATTACTATATTGTACATACTATATTCTCTAATCAAGTTCATTGCACGAAAAATTTACTTCAATAGATCAATTGTAAACATTAAAGCAGAATAACTTGAACAAAGTAATTCTCCAAATATTTGGTTGGAAGAACATTCAAATCCTAAAGGGTTACTCCCATTTCTGAAACAACAATTTTCATTATCATTCTCGTTGGTAAATCTTACATAATCAGTTACTTTGTGCACATTCACATATTCGATTTTATCAATCAGTGTGACACACAACGCACGAGTATAGCTCATGTCAATGAGTAGTCACATCTACCGACCGAGCGACATCAGTCAGTTTTACCATCATGGGCGCGGGATTCTCATTGACTATTCACATACCATTTGGATGAAAATTGCTTGCCTATGTCAAATTAACAACTATTAACAGTTGTCGGCGGTGTGTTCTAATGTTATGGCGAAAAGGAAATTGTGCAAATGGTTGGTTGGCAGATTGAAATTTTATTTTGTTGGATTGTGAAAAGTTCAGTAGCTTCGATGGGATTCGAACCCATGCATGGACACCGTCTATGTGGTTGTACAGCGTACGCTCTACCAGCTGAGCTATGAGGACAATTCGAATGTGAAAAAAAAGAAAACGACAAAAAGTTAACATATTTTGGGTTTTGAATGATCCTGTTATGAAACCCTCTCGGGAACCGCATACGAGCAATCTTGTGTGCATGTACTTCAGCGGATGTTGACAAGAGTTACCAATCAGTCCTTCCGAAAGTGACAAATGATATGGTCTCACATCAGAGTCGATGAAATGCATCACAAATTTGGAATGAAACTGAAATTCGGAGGGGGGGCAGGCGACTGGGAGTGATGGCAAAGCAAACAAATGAAGCAGTTAGTCTGTAAACGAACACCGGATTGGTTCCCCTATTGACCGCAAGATGGCAAGATGGACCATCGGATCCAACGGAAGTGATAAGTAAAGGCATTAGCGTTTGATGGGTAGAGCTCCTAGTTGATTAATTATACGCTGTGATTATTTCTGCACAGTCGCTTCCGTTCGTACAAAAATGAATGTATGACTGTTTAACGCAGAAGCAGCGCAACAACAACCATAAGGTTACACATTGCTTTGAATTGCGCACTTAAAGACATCATGTTTGCCAGTCGTACACGGGTAATTAGTTATTATCTAAAAGCAATCATCCACACAGTCAGTAAGCAAAAGACAAGTAAATAAGGCACGATAGGTATGAGTCATATCAATGCGTAATATCGATCGATTTTACGTGCTAACCTTGAAAGGTGCATCCGTTGGTTTTAGGTGGTATGTGACCTGAGCATTGTTTCCAATATCACAGTCGGTGGCCCGAATTTGTCCGACCACTCGAGCACTGGTTGCGTTCTGTGGCAATTCCTCGTCCACGGAGAATTCGTACAAGGCTTGGGTGAACACGGGACTGCAATCATTGATATCGATCAGTGCTACTTCGACCTGAGCTGAACTGGAATGGACTGGATGACCACCGTCTCGAACCAGAACCTGTTCGGTGGGGGAAGATTTTGAACAACTCCTCAAAATTTCTGTTTGTGATAGTGTACACGTCGGGTGCAAAACAAATATTAATATGATTGTACGGTTTTGGATAAAACTAATGAAAAAAATCAAATAAAGTTTTAAAAAGTAATGGTAAAATATAGTTCCTCAAGTAGAAGGTGACTCATACCAATAAAAGACCATTCCCTAATGTTATCCATCTAAATTCCAAGTGGTTGCCGTTTGATTAGGAAATCTATCCGTCCCGATCGATAATGGTTTTTACCATTTTTTTCACACACACACAGACATACACATGCATACAGACGTTGATACAAGCTTTCAGAGGAAAATCTGTGACTCCATCTTACATCGTGAGTGGATGAAGTTGATCCAATAATAGTTAACTCTATAGATAACTGGAATAGACGCTCATAAGAGCAATACACAGTACTGTTGGGACTAGTCAAACACTTTATAATGTTATTAGTTAAAGTTGATTTTGATTGATTATCTCTGAAGTAGAACAGCTTTCGACAAAATTTCGTAGACAAAAGACGTAGGGTAGAGTAGCGTACTTAAATCTACATGTGCGAATTGTGTTTGATTTTAACATTACCTTAAGAACCGCGTAACACACTGATCAAAGTTACCTTCTGGTATATGTATGCTGACCTGAAATTCGCACCGCTCATGCAAAGCTTTCGTACAAACACAGCCCGAAAATAATAAATGACAATAACTCACGTTAAACTGATAGCCCTCCGGTCGACTTTCCCTGTCCAGCGGGACACGGGCTGTCAGTTCACCTTGATCATTGATACTGAACGGATTCGGGCCCTGACCGGCAGGCCACTGGATAGAATACGTCAGTTGAGCATTTCGACCCGCGTCGGGATCAGTAGCTTTCAATCGACCAATCAGCTGACCAACATCGTTTCCCTCCGAGGTCTGATGGTAACGAGCATGCAAAGGTTTCCCGGGCGTCGGAACCAGTGATTATGACGGGTGGCGGGAAAAGAGATGCGGGAATAATGAAATAAGATACACAAGCTTGAGTGACGTAACGATTCCTGTATGAGAATAAACTGAAACAATGCACTTGGTACATTGTGGTTGTGTGGTAATTGAAGCTAACTTCCCAGATTTGCTTCAGTTCCGTTGTTTCGCGCGTCTACACAACTATGCGTTCCCATAGACCGGAATTGTCTAAATGTGAAGATGATGAGGACGACGGCAATGATGAGGTTAAGAAATACACTGCGTTTCCGAAACAATTAATTTAGGTTTCATTTTTTTCGAGACAAAAAGAAGGTGAAAACCCCCAATTCAGTCTGCAAGACATATAATCAGAAATCCTGACAGACGTGCGCAATCGAAGTGAGAATGAAACAAACAAGGTTTTGTTTTGACTTACAGCCGAATCACGGGAGTGTCCGATAACCGGCTTGATGAAAGAAAACGCAAGCAGTGAAAATGGAATGGCATTGAACGGAACTCATTTGAACGATTGTTATGTGCATTGTACGCCTCGATTAACGCTATTCATTTTTATTTTATTCAATTCAACAACAGTTTCGGTCCCAAATTTATGACGAACACAAATCCGTTCACTCAATCCATTTGTTTTGTGTTGATGTTTAATAGTTTCAACTGGTTTTCGTTCAGTCGTTTGATTTACTAAGAACCAAATCATTTTCATTTATCACATAAGCATATGCGCATTTCATCAATGTTAACAATTCCCTCCGAGTCACCCTTTGTTTCACAGTCACATCGGTTCAGTTTTCTCATTTCGGTTTACTGACCGATTCGAGCTCGACCGTTGTTTGCTTTTTCTTTTGTTGCTCACAACTCGATGACAAGCATTTAGAAATCTTAAGTAACTAAAACGTGTGTCAATCGTATGTCAATTCCTCATTTCTTCTACGTTGCACACCGACGAATAACACTATTTTGATTTGATTTGAAATGAACATCCTTCAGACTTCAACGTCACGCACAGACATCATACACTCAAAAAGCTCATCGGCAGGGCTCATCTACAATCCCGTCCGGGATGCGAACTCCGAATACTTCGCGTGGAAGGCCTGTATGTTACCAGTGTGTCACGCTTATACCCCGGCTAAACCAAATTTCTAATGCATACTTGTTCAGGCATCGTCCTCAGTGACACTCAGTCAGTTCATTTTGGCTCGACCGCAATAGTTCAAATCAATATCAATTATCCCGCACCACTACTCACAAGTAAATGTGGGGTTAATGTGAGTAGTAATGTTTTACAGTAAATGCACGCACTGGGCTTGGAACGATTAGTTGGTATATATCTAATTTCCATTGGAAACAGAATCTGTTCTAGAAATAAACGATGCAGATTTCATGTCCCTTTTGTATCACCCTAGATAATATGCCATCCACACACACACACACACACACACACACTCGGATACATCGTGTCCCAACGCAAGATTGCATGGTAACAAGTCTGTTGTTCTCTTCTGCTATTGTGAAGTGTAACCAGTTATCTGAGTATGCAAAATATTTGGGTTCCCTCCATTTTTGTCTCATTAGAGCATGATCATAAAGTGTAACAACGGCGGCGGTAGTGTTAAGAGTGCACCCACTTATCGCCCCGGGGGAAGTTTGTTGAAATCCGACTACCACTACCACCAAAATCATCACCTTCACCTCCACTGCCGTCTCACTTCTCTTCGTTCTTTGTGTTAAGCATGGCAGCCTTGAGATTGGTCACTTTCCCTTCATTAAAAATTGTATCATACTATGCAATGGAAATATATGTGATAACCAACAATGAGCACTGGTCAGCTGGTTCGTCCTGTTTGGGACTCGTCAGCGGTGCGTCTTTTTTGCGTGCCTGTCAGTATTCAAGCCGCGAATGTTCGGGTTGGGACTTCAACCATTACCTCTGAGCTACACGGTCGACAGCCATCACCTTGTGCGAACGGCTCAATCAATTTTAAAGTATCAAGCTTGGATCAACCCATTTGATTGTTAACAGGCACCAGGCACCCTTGACGGTCTTGGGTGTGGGTTCTACTCTTTGAGAGGTCGTTAATTCCCCACGATATCATGTATTCATATGCGATGGAAATGTTTGTGATAACCAAGCTTGCTAGTCCAAACATTTTACTCTAAAATTGATTGAACCGTTCACAAAAGGTGACAACCGTCAATCGTGTAGCTCAGGGGTAAGGGTTTGAAGTCCCAACCCGAATGTTCGCGGTTAGAGTCCTGACAGGGACACAAAAAGGGTGCACTGCTGACGTGTCCCAGAACAGGACGAAACAGCTATCCAGTGCTCTTTGTTGGTTATCACAAATATTTCCATCGCATGTAAATTCATGAAATCGTGGGGAATTACCGATCTCCTAAGGAGTGAAACCCACACCCAAGAACATCAAGAGTGCCTGGTGCCTCTTGACAATGGAATGGACTAATTCAAGCTTGCTACTCTAAACTTTTATCTTACTATATTTAAAAACGGAACTCAAATAAAAGATAAAAGAGAGAGGGAATCTGTTCATTGGCTTCGGTTCTTCTAATAGTCAGTGAATCCTACTATTTTGTACCAGATACGCCAAACTTTTTTTATTTTTCACAAAGTAACTAGTAAAATAAGGTCTGTTCATAGTAATTGGACCTTTTCACATGAAGAATCTTTTATTCGTGAATGTACTTGTGTTCCCTGAATCAAATCACCTACAAAGACCATTTTGCTATGAAATACTTCAAACGCATTTTAGATGCTAACGGCCGTTCGTGGTCCTCGATTTGATAAGGCTACTATTGTTTTTTTCTAAATTACCTTTCTTACAGATTTTATAGTTTACGCACTATTCTCAGTTCACCCAATTGATAGTACACTTTAGAAGCATCAAAGGCTCATATTTCACTCTTATTAGAGCTCATCAGTTGAGTATAATCATTGCCTCGTCTGAGATTTGAACACCGCCTGTCCCCCCCTTACCTCCCGTCTGGAACGCGTGTGTGGTTTTCGGTTTGCACCGAGGCTGAACAGAAAAATGAATTCGACACAACTGGCCGGATACTATGTTTGATGACACTCAGTCAACAGTGAAAGGAAATGCAACCGACTATCTGGTGATTTCGTTCAAAAGCTCTCATGATACTTCTTCAACCTATAACCTGATAAATTTAGAAATGTACGAGACATAAAACCGACAATCTGTATGCTGGCATCCCACCTAATGCAGCGCCCATACAGATATCCTGTAGTTCTCGATATCGAAATTCTTCTACACGATAAAATTGAGAGAACAAGGAGAAATCGGGCTGTTCATCTACTAAGTACCGGTATTAATACTAACAACGCGATCACAGGCTATTTCGATAAGATTTCCCTGAAAAATGAATCTACTGTAAAATCCGAAGATGTGAAACCGAGTGAAAGGGACAGACCTGGGGAATTCTATGAAACTCATACAACTCTAGCTATTTTGGTGAAATAACCCTGGACTGGGCGGCATTATTACCTGTCTACTTGAAAGCAGGGCACGGTTTTACGGGACATTACTACACTGTTCAGACAGAACTAAAACACACACACACACAAACGAGAGAGAAGACAACGGGACTAACGATATCATCCGAAATCCAGCGAGCAATGGCGGGTGTGGATAAAGCTACTGCTACTGTTACCCTACGTCCCGCCGCTATTTGGTTCCCATCACATGATGCTATCCGTTTTATATCCGAAAACAATTTCGTGACATCAACCGCACCTATCGGTACTTTACCAAGCCTCATAAAAAAGTTCCACACGATAATATAACTGATCACATGATCAGTCAAATGATCGGCTAGTGGGTTTTTTCGTTTGCGTGTGTGTGCGTGTTGATGTCTATATTACCTTCCCGGAGTACACGAGGTAATTCTTTGATAATAAATAAATATTGATGGATGCATTACCGACTTTTAATCTGTTCCTGAAGGAAAATGACCTTATGCTGGTCTCTCGTCAACTTTTAGGGACCGTTACACAGGTGCATTTTTAGTGATAATTTACAAAAGCAAATTTCCAAATAGTGGTGGTGTAGACTGTTTCGTGTGAAAGAGACCGATGATGGCTACTTTATTGCTAAAATAACTGATCAATGAAAACATCAATAGTAATAGTCTAAGCATTAGATCAGACATCAGTCCACAACGAAAATGTACTCGGAGAACCATATTCTATACAAATCACAAACTACGGACCATATTTGATATCTGATTAGTAAAAAGTGCACAATATAACAATCTGGTCATATTTATGATACTCCATATCCGTCACCCAAACCAGGTGCAACTTGATAGGAGTAAAGAAAAGTAAAACTGTACAGTTTGCGCTATCCGATAAATTTTTCTCAGGTAGATAGATTATTAGATAAATAGATAGATAGATAAACAGATACATACATACATACATACATACATACATACATACATACATACATACATACATACACACATAAATGCACAGATAAACAGCAGGAAGGACTACGAGGTGATTCTGGTTTGGCACCATTCAACTAATTCATTCAGATCCGCAAAAAGAAACATTACAATACACAGCTTGATAAACAATCTGGCTAGTCCACCCGACTCCATGGGTTGGTCTTCAAGAGGATTTATTTAAAACTAAAATTATCATTGAGTTCAATAGTGCATCGGATATAAATTTTGATTTAGAAATTGTGGGAAGAGCATCAACTGATTAGGTGAAAATTCAATTGACTCCTTGAACGAAATGTGCTAGGTTTGAAATTCGGCTATTCTTTCGATCCACAGAAAGTTCTTTTCATCAATATCCGTTCCTATGTTGCGTTACACGAAAGAATGCTAATTCGCGCGGGAAATTTAAATCACTTCCTTTTATTTGGGTTTTCCTGACAAATTTGCCACAGACAGGTTGAGCAGTCGATATCTTGAATTGTATGTGCCAATAAGTCCGGATAAGCGTCGAGCAGTCAATAAGTTATCGTTAAGATCAGGGGAAGCCGTTTCAGTGAGATACCAAATCAAAACATGAACCATGATGTTTATCTACTGTAGACTCAATGCTATGATTCAGAAACGAATCCAATCGGCTCGTCACCTTTGACTGTCGCCTTTTGGATAGCGATAACGATAGCAGAACCCTGGCTCATTTTACACACACACACACACACAAATCGGCATAAAAACATCCGCCGAACTGTGCAAGAATCACTACCACGGTGCCGTTTCGTGATTTCCCAGCGGAGGGTTGCGGTTGGTTGGTCAATAATTGACTTCATCGTACGAGTTGAAACTTGAGGTCCACGTACTACCCAGATGCCAGCAAACCGGAAACCTCTTCACACAGGGTCTGATATCTTGCACAAGTGCACTTTTATGACCTATGCATGCACCAAGAGAAAAGAAACGACCTGGCCAAACATAAAACACGAAGTTGAAAAACGGGTTGTAGATTTCGATTAATTTTGGTCGCTAAGACCAGCGCTTNTCAAGACATGAAATTAAACGTGTGATCTATTCAAGCGAAATTTTCTGACTCCGGGACAGACATTAATTATTTACTTCAAGTGTTTAACAACTCTGATCCAAGTAAACAATTGAAAATGGCGATAGAACAGACAACTTTCTCGCCATTCTGGACGTTGGTCTTCATTGTACGGAGGGAGGATGGCCATTTGTAAGAAAGAGTATGCCGTTAGAGCGCGTGGGTAGGACAGTAAACACATTTTCTAAGGTTCGTCCCCCTGACCTACAAACGGAGTTTGGTGAATTACTGTCCATAGGTTGATGCGATCAAAACCAGATCAACGAACCCAAATAACCCTATATAACCGTAATGAATAGTTGATGCATTTATCCAAAACCAGCTGGTTTCGTTTACTGTACTTTGTTTTTATTAAGGCAATGGTTATTCTTCATTCATTTAATGATTTATCTTACTTACAGGGCAAAGAGAAATCCAACGGGCCGAAGAGCCCCGAAATCACATGAGAGACATTCTCAGGAGAAACGAATAGTTAGAGGTGTTCGTTTGACGATATCTGGAATCGAAATCCAACTGCAGAAAAGTGAAAAAAATGGCTAGAAAGAGGTTGTTTACAAAAGTTCCTTTCAATGGAAGACGGGGCATTAGCATTCCGAAAACATCAGTCATTTGAAACATTGGGTTCCCTTTATCCAATTCGCTAGTACGGAGAGAAGATAAATACTGCGAGATGCTAACAATTCTTTTATTCTCCTCAAACGCTATAAGATAAAACCATCTGATAGTTATACAACTATGGGTGATAACGAAAGTGGTTTAACGGACAACAGTCAGGGAAGCGGCGGATCAGTTCCACGGTAGTCTGATTGATTGTGTCAGAAACGTTTGTGCGCACAAGATTGGATTAGCTAACTTGATTAGTATTGCCTTGCTAAGCGCCAACATCC